CTCACGTTTGTCATCTTTTCTTTTCTTTCTTTTTTTTTTTTGTTGTTGTTGTTGTTGAGACGGGGTCTTACTCTGTTGCCAAGGCTGGAGTACCACAGCATGATCATAGCACACTGCATTCTCGAAGTCCTGAGCTCAAGTGATCCACCTGCCTCAGCCTTCAGGGTAGCTAGGACTACAGACTCACACCACCGTGGCCAGCTAATTATCTTTTTATAGAGACAAGATCTATGTTGCCCAGGCTGGTCTCAGTCTCCTGGCCTCAAGTGATCCTCCTGCCTTGGCCTCCTAAAATGCTAGGATTGGAGAAACGCCACTAAGCTCAGTCATGATTGTCATTTCCTATTGGAGCTTACTATGTGTCAAATGAACATTTCTCAGCAGTTTTAGAGAGCTAACTATGCCATTTTGTGTTAAAACCTAGAGTCTATGAGGAATGAAATTTATGAACACGGGGTGTCCTTGTCGATTACAACATTGCCCCACAGGTAAGAGGTGGTCTAGGGCAGGCCTCCCAAACCACTGGACCACCTACTGGTACTGCACAGCAGGAGGTGAGTAGTGGTCTTCATCTGTAACTACAGCCACTCCCCATCACTAAATTACCATCTGAGCTCTGCCTCCTATCAGATCATAGGCGGCATCAGATTCTTAACGGACCTCGAACGCTGTCATGAACTATGCATGTGAGGGATCTAGGTTGCGCTGCTTCTTATGAGAATCTAATGCCTGATGATCTGTCACTGTCTCCCATCACCCCCAGTTGCAGAAAACAAGCTCAGAGTTCCCACTGATTCTACATTATGGTGAGTTGTATCAATATTTCATTATATATCACAATGTAATAATATAAATAAAGTGCACCATAAATGCAATATGCTTGAATCATCCCCAAACTCTCTCTCCCCTGTGGTCCATGGAAAAATGGTCTTCCATGAAACTGGTCCCTGGTGCCAAAAAGGTTGGAGACTGCTGGTCTAGGAAAGCAAAAGTCCCCATGACACAAAAATGTTCTTTAATGACTACATGAGCAATGAAACTCCACTGAAGCCTCCTTCTCTGCCACCTACGATTCAATGGCTTCACCTTGCCAATTATTGGGCGTCAACATCTACCATCATGCTACGAACACAAAACGAAGTGGCAGCTCTGTGATATTTTAAGGTGCAGTGATTGGCAAAGTCAGTGGCCTTAGAAAGGCCATAAAAAAAAATTCAGGGGCCTGGTGAGGTGGCTCACGCCTGTAATCCCAGCACTTTGGGAGGCTGAGGCAGGTGGATCACCTGATGCCAGGAGTTCAAGACCAGCCTGACCAACATGTTGAAACCCCATCTCTACTAAAAATACAAAATTAGCCAAGCATGGTGGCACATGCCTGTAATCCAAGCTACTTGGGAGGCTGAGGCAGGAGAATCACTTGACCCCAGAAGGCAGTGGTTGCAGTGAGCCAAGATCGCACAATTGCACTCCAACCTGGGCAACACTAGTGAAACTCCGTCAAAAAAAAAAAAAAAAAAAAGATTCAGGGCGATTCACAGCTAAATGAACACCAAGACCACTGTGGTGTGAATCGCCCTGAATCTGTACTAAACACCAAAGAAGTAAAAGAAGCCCTTAGGAAAACTGGTGAGCCATTAAATAAATCTGTAAGCATGACTTAGCTCGGGCTGCGGAAGTCAAGCGTGACATGAAGAATGTCATTTTCTCTCTCACGTGATTTTGTCCCTCACCCCAAACCACACCCACTCTTAATTCATTTTATAATGAATCTACTAATTAGCACCTACTTGTATTAAAAAATTCTTGTTACATGTAAGATGAAATGAACCTATTTTTATAATTTGCAATGTTGTTTTTTTCTTTTCTTTTTTTTTCTTTTGAGACAAGGTCTGGCTCTATCATCCAGGCTGGAGTGCAGTGGCATGATCTCCGCTCACTGCAACCTCCAGTTCAAGTGATCCTCCCACCTCAGCTTCCTGAGAAGCATGACTACAGGCATGCGCTATCATGCCCAGCTTATTTTTGAATTTTTTGCAGAGACAGGGTTTCACCATATTGCCCAGGCTGGTCTCGAACTCGTAACCTCAAGCAATCCACCCATCTGGGCTTCCCAAAGTGCTGGGATTACATGCGTGAGCCACCGTGCCCAGCCTGCAATGTCACTTTTCAAGCTGTTAAACCTTTTGCCCACTCTCTTTCCCTCCTCCACACACATACTAATCTACAGTAAAACTTTGGTCCCTGTTTTAAAGGATCTTTTTCTGGAAACAATTATCTTCAGATAGCAAAGATTTCCTTCATTTCATGCCATTCAGCTTAATTGTGTATGAAAGGTCATATAGCAAGATGTTAATGGCAATGAGTTTTAAATGACAGAATTATAGGTGCCATCAAGTTCTCTTTTGCTTAAATACGTGTTTAAGTTTTTCTAGAATAAACACACAATATTAAAGACTTTTTAAAGTTACAAATATATTTTCTCAGAGCACTGTAGAAATGCTTACCCATCTGTTGCTCCCCTCCTTCTCCTTGACTAACAGAATTTTATTTCATTTTGTTATTTAGATTAAAATGTGCTTAGTGGGACCTCCCTCAGCTCCAGAAAAGAACCAGGAATTGCCAGGTGCGGTGGTTCACACCTGTAATCCCAATACTTTGGGAGGCCAAGGCAGGTGGATCACTTGAGGTCAGGAGTTCAAGACCAGGCTGGCCAACATGACCAAATGCACTCTCTACTAAAAATACAAAAAATGAGCCAGGTGTGATGGCATACACCTGTAATCCCAGCTACCTAGGAGGCTGAGGTGGGAGAATCGCTTGAACCCAGGAGGCAGAGGTTACAGTGAGCTGAGATCATGCCACTGTACCTCCAGCCTGGGCAACAGAGTGGGGGAAAAAAAACCAAAAAACCCAAAAAAATCCAAAACCTATAAAACGAAACGATACAAAACAGGAAAGATTCAAATAAATCATAAACATCCCAATCCCCTTTACTAGTGACTGCTTCAGGGATTAGCATATCACCAAGTTCCTCCCTAATTAAAAAAAAAAAGAGAGAGAGACACAGGAAAAGAATTTAACCCTCCACTTCCTTCCTGCTTTTGGATATTACCACATGAGAATGTGATATCCGGAACTTTGTGACCTTGAGGAAGAAGCTGAGAAAAATCCCAAGGAAGTCAACCTGAAATCAGTCCCTAGGCTTCCTGTTATGAGAGGTAATCAACTCCTATTGGTTGGCCGGGCGAGGTGGCTCACACCTGTAATCCCAGCATTTTGGGAGGCTGAGGTGGGTGGATCATGAAGTCCGGAGTTTAAGACCAGGCTGGCCAACATGGTGAAACCCTATCTCGACTAAATATACAAAAATTAGCCAGGTGTGGTGGTGCACCTGTAATCCCAGCTTTCAGGAGACTGAGGCAGGAGAATTGCTTGAACCCGAGAGGTGGTTGTTGCAGTGAGCAGAGACTGCACCACTGCACTCCAGCCTGGGTGACAGAGCAAGACTCCATCTTGAAAAAATAAAATAAAAATAAACTGCTATTGGTTAAGCCACTTTAATTGCTTATGTTACTTGTAACCCAAAGTACCCCAAATGATAGGAACACTGAGCTCTGTGAGGCTCAGCTTCCCAAAGACATACACGAACCACTTTGCAAATACACTCCCATCAAGGGAGACCACAAAGAGAGTGTATGTGTCTGCGTTTAATACAAAGACAGATGCCTAACCCCAGGAGTCATCAATTTCCCACCTGAGATTGTGTCTTCATGATTCTCCTTGCAAGGCTCCACCTGCTGGTCTTTGGAGGTAATGGCAGCCCCTGCCTAGTGCGGGGGCAGTTCTGGCCCTACCTGTGGAGTCTGGCTAACTCTGTCAGTAACTCCGGGTACTTACACCCCACCTCTACCTTGGGGGTGGTGGAGTGGCATCTCTCGGGCACACCTGGATTCCTGCCTCAAGAACTTTCAAAAATGGGCTCCTCTCAATTCCCAACTCAGATCCCTGGGTTCTCATCTGTTGGCTCCCTTTTCGAGGGGGTGTGAGTTTTCGGGTTCTTTATAGTCTGCCTGACCTAGTACATGTGCTTGTATTAACTGCCTGTTTGACTTGTGGATGGCTATTCCAGGGGCTGCAAACTGAGAAGGCCTGAGCGCAGTGGCTCATGCCTATAATCCCAATATTTTGGGAGGCCAAAGTGGGAGGATTGCTTGAGGCCAGGAGTTTGGGACCAACCAATAGGGCAAGATCCTGTCACTGCAAAAAAAAAAAACTTTCAGAAATTAGCTTGGCACGGTGGTACATGTCTACAGTCCCAGCTACCTGGGAGGCTGAGGCAGAATTGCTTGAGCCCAGGAGGCAGAGGTTTACTGGGAGCGGAGATCACAATTGCACCTCTGCACTCCAGCCTGGGCAGGAAAGCAAGACCCTGTCTCAAAAATAATAATAATAGTAAAAATAATAACACATAAACATGAAGGTAACAGGCACAAGTCTTAAGTTTGAAAAAAACCAGCACTAACAAGCTTCAAAAGAAGCTACAAGATAGAGACTATCATTACCCCTTTTGACAGATGAGGAAACCGAGGCTGAAGAGGAAAAGATAATTGGCCACAGTCCCACAGGGATTGAGAGACAGGTGGGTGCCAACGCAGACCCTGATGGCTCAGCCCCAGGGCTGTTCTCCACCCTCTTTCCATCCTTGGCAGACAGCTGGCCCAGTAGGGCCTTTGGGCAGCGAGCCCCAGAGCCAGAGCTGAAGCGGGCCCATGCCTGTATTTGCCCAAGCCCTCACTTCTTCCTTACCCTCCCAGGCTGCAAACACAGATGTTCCTTTTGCTTTTTCCCTTTTTCAGCCACAGCATGCCTGGTCCCGAGCACTGCCTGCCAAACTCCACATTCCTGGCAAAAACTGCAGACAAGCAGGAAAGGACGAGCTCTCTGGCTCTGGCCCTGTGGCGCCCTCGCCGGGCTCCTGTGCCCACACGGGGCCCACTCACCTTGAAGCATGCTCCGGTAGGCCGTGTCTGCGATGGCGTAGATGTGAGGCGGCATCTCGTGCCTCTTCTTGCCCTTGTACATGTCGACGATCTTCTCCGAGTAGATAGGCAGGTGTTTATAGGGGTTGACCACCACGCAGAAGAGGCCAGAGTACGTCTGCAGACAGAGAACCCAGCTTATTTCCAGACCTCCCCCAGGGAAGACAGATCACACAGAAGCACTCAATGTTCTCATTTTAGAGTTGGGGAAACTGAGGCTTGGAGTCTTGGGAGGAAACCCTGGGCCTCACTGGTATTCCAGGTACAGGGGAAGGGAAGAGGAGAAAAGCTGAGTGGATTTCCAGGCTGCCTGTGTGATATTTTGCAGCTGTGGGGGATTTTGTTTGAGATGGGGTCTCCCTCTGTCCCCTAGGCTGGGTACAGTGGTATGAACAGGACTCACTGCAGCCTTGACCTTCTGGACTCCGGTGATCCTCTTACCTCAGACTCCCAAGTAGCCGGGACTACAGGTGGTCACCACCACGCCTGGCTAATGTTTGTATTTTTTGTAGAGATGTAGATTTCACTATGTTGCCCAAGCTGATCTTGAACTCCTGGGCTCAAACAATCCTCCCCTTTCCGTCTGCCAAAGTGCTGGGATTACAGGCATGAGCCATTGCACCTGACCGAACTGTGAAGTCTTAAGGAGCTCTGGGTCCAAATCTCAGCTCCACTCCTCCAAGCTGTGGCTCTACCTCCCTGGACCTCAAGGGCTTCAATAACAGCCAGCATTCATTGAGCACTTACTGTATGCCAGGCACCAAACTAAGCACAACACAGAATGCTCACAATCTTATTAAATGCTCATCATTTAACAGGTGGCACAGAAAATGAACAGCACACTTAAAATAGTAACCCAGGAACATTAAATAAAGGGACTGCTTACAGACATGTATGCAGAATTAATGACACCCAACCAGTGAAGGGAGCAGTTAACAGCAAGAAGAGAAGAGAATGGTGTTTACTTGACTTTTTTTTTTTTTTTTGAGACAGGGTCTTGCTGTCGCCCAGGCTGGTGTGCAATGGTGTGACCTTGGCTCACTGCAACCTAGAGTTCCTGGACTCAAATGACCCTCTCTCCTCAGCCTCCCCAGTAGTTGGTACTACAGGTGTACACCACCAAGCTCAGCTAATTTTTTTTTTTTTTGAGACACAGTCTCGGCTCTTGTCCCCCAGGCTGGAGTGTAATGGTGCCATCTCGACTCACTGCAACCTCCGCCTCCTGGGTTCAAGCTATTCTCCTGACTCAGCTTCCTGAGTAGCTGGGATTAAAGGCGCCGCCACCACACCCGGCTAATTTTTGTATTTTTAGTAGAGACGGGGTTTCACTATGTTGGCCGGGCTGATGTCAAACTCCTGGTCTCAGGTGATCTGCCTGCCCCAGCCTCCTAAAGTGCTGGGATTACAGATGTGAGCTACCACGCCTGCCCAGGTTTGTTTTTTTTTTTTTTGTAGAGAGAGGGTTTCACCAGGTTGGCCTCAAACTGGTGAACATCGCTCAGGCAATGCACCTGTCTCAGCCTCCCAAAGTGCTGGGATTACTGCGCCCAGCCAGAGAGGAAATGTTAAGTGAACATTGGAGAAATAAAAAGCCACACGGCCATAGAAAGGGACTGTCCAGAGCGAGCTGCAGCCACACGGAAACACGACTGCCAAAACCACGTTCCGGGAGGGAGAGAGACGAGGTAATAACACTCCAACCTCTCTCTCCTTCTACCACCCTCTCATCTCTTTCTGGTGCATCCCATTGTTCACATCTAAGAAGAAACCCCAGTGAATCGGTCTCTAAAACATGGCAGGGGCATCTCCTTATGGAATCTTCACAACTACTCAGTAACAGTGATTTCCCCACTGCCCGTTTGACAGGAGGGCCAAATGAGGCTTGGTGAGGTTGTCACCAAGTCACACTGCTGGAGAGAAGTCGGGAACTACTCCCCTCCAGCTGTGTAACCTGGTGACAACCTCACCAGCTACTTGGGAGGCAGAGGCAGGAGAACTGCTTGAACCTGGGAGGCAGAGGTTGCAGTGACTGTTTCCCCCAGAGCACCTGCTCCTGACCGCTAATGAAATGCCTTCCTCATGTGTAAAACTGAGACAAACACAGCTGTGCCTAAAAAGGATCGAAGCACTGACACATGCTCTCCAAGGTGGATGAACCTTGAAAATATGCCAAGTAGAAGAAGCCAGGCATGAAAGGTTACACATCGTGTCATCTCATTTATGTGAAGCATCTAGAGTAGGCGAAGCCACAGAGACAGGAAACAGACGTTCTCAGGGGCTGGAGAGGCGGGGATGAGGAATAACTGCCGATGGGTATGGGGTTTCCTGTTGGGGCTGTAAAAACGCTCTGGGGCCAAGTGCAGTGGCTCATGCCTGTAATCCCAGCACTTTGGGAGGCCGAGGCAGGAGGATCACTTCAGGCTAAGAGTTTGAGATCAGCCCAGACAAAAACTGCAAGACCCCACCTCTACAAAAAATTTAAAAAATTAGCTGGCCATGGTGGTGAGCACTTGTAGTCCCAGCTACTTGGGAGGCTGAGTCAGGAGGATTGAGTGAGCCGAGGAGCTCAAGGTTATAGTGAGCTATGATCGCACCACTGCACTCTAGCCCCTGGGTGCCATAGCAAGACCTTGTCCTGAAACCGATAGGTGTACAACATTGTGGATGAACCAAATGCCACTGTTTTCTTTAAAATGTTTAAAACGGTAAATTTTATGTTACTTGCACATTACCATTTAAAAAGTAGCAGTCCTGGCTGGGCGCAGTGGCTCATGCCCAGCACTTGGGAGGCTGAGGAGGGTGGATCATGAGGTCAGGAGGTTGAGACCAGCCTGATCAACGTGGTGAAACCTTTTATCTACTAAAAATACAAAAATTAGCTGGGCATGGTGGCGGCCGCCTATAATCCCAGCTACTCAGGAGGCTACGGCAGGAGAATCGCTTGAACCCAGGAGGCAGTGGTTGCCATGAGCCGAGATCACACCACTGCACTCCAGCCTGGGTGCCAGAGCAAGATTCCATCTCAAGGGAAAAAAAAGTAGCAGTCCTGTCTTACAGGGTGCATAGGATCATCTGAAGCTAATCAGACCTGGGATGAGGGAGCAAAGGCACAAGGTGAATCCCGTCACACTGTGCGTGGTGAGGTGCTATCGTCATGATTTTTCATTTCTGGATGCTAGATTTTCCCATGATTGAGGTTACAGTTCAGGAGACAGGCTCCCAGCCATCCCACAGGAACTGCTTCCCCCAAGCGATAAACATCAGTACTGCCCAAGACTGATGGCCATAAAGCACATCCTCTTCCGAGCATGTGACCTAGGGAGAATCAGAGATCCATCTCTGAGTGACAACCAGGGTGAACCAAGCAACAGAGGGTTAAGGCACTTGACCAAAGCAACCAAGGAAGACCCTGGCAGCACCAAGCCCAGCCTGGCCCACCGTCAGGTGTGAGCACAGTTCTTTATGCTAACCAGCCTAGGCCCATCTGACAGAAACAGAAACTACTGATCATTCCTTCGTTCGTTCATTTGTTCATTCATTATGTATGTCCTAGATGCCATGCAAGGTGCTGGGACTACATTAGAACATAAAAAAAAACGCAAGGTCCCTGCCCTCAAGGGGCTTTTAGTTAAGGGCTGGAGCCAGAGAGTGGGAAGGTCTGGCTGGGTGCAGTGGCTCATGCCTATAATCCTGGGACTTTGGGAGATCAAGGCAGGAAGGACCCCTCTTCCCCATTCTATCACCCAGGACCCTCCCACCCATCCTGCAAACACCAGCTGCAAGTATCCTGAGGCCAGGGAGCCCCCACTTTCTCCTCTTCAGTCCCAGTACTGACCTTGGTATGGAGTAGGTGCTAACTAAATGCTTGTTAAATGCATATAGAGGGAGTAACTTAAGGATATAGTTTCCAGAGAGCAGGTGCAGCCTGACTTCATCTCTGTGACCTGGGGCCTTGCACTATAGCAGTAGCTGCTCAGCAGACCACATGGAGCCAGGACAGGGACTATGTCCTGTTCATCCGTGTTCTCCGTCCCAAGGACAAGCCTCCCAAACAGCATGTGCCCAGTCCATGGTCATCTGAATAAAGGTCAACCAAGCCCCACCCTCCTTCAGGTCTTGACTCTCTCCAGCTCCTCTGTGGCCACACCCACTGCCACACCCCTTTTGAATATAGGTATCATTTACAGCCCAATCTGTCTTCACTCAAGCCCTTGCTTGACCTGGAGGCAGTCAAGGGCTAAGGGCTCAGAACTGGGTATCAGATACTCGAATTTGAACCTTCACTCTGCTACTTCATTTTGTTTTGTTTGAGATGGAGTTTCAGTCTTCTTTCCCAGGCTGGAGTGCAATGGCGCCATCTCAGCTCACTGCAATCTTGGCCTCCTGGGTTCAAGTGATTCTCCTGCCTCAGCCTCCCAAGTAGCTGGGGTTACAGGGGATTACAGGCATGCACCACCATGACCAGCTAATTTTCTATTTGTAGTAGAGACAGGGTTTCTCCATGTTGGCCAGGCTGGTCTTGAACTCCTGACCTCAGGTGATCCGCCCACCTCAGCCTCTCAAAGTGCTGGGATTACAGGTATGAGCCACTGCGCCCGACCACTCTGCTACTACTTAGCTGTGTGACCTGGGGCAAGTTTCTTAACCTCTCTGAGCCTCAGTTATCCTCATCTACAAAACGGGGCAGCGTACCAACAAGCCCTTCCTAGGTGTGCTGTGAGATGATGCTCACAAAGCATTTAGCAGGGCGACTAATATGTAGTACGTGCTCAGTTAATGTTGTTTAGTGACTCTTACTACGCTCCCTTCATTTCATGAGAAGTGAAGTCTTGCCACCTTAGAGCCTTCAATATGCTGTTCCCTCCACCTTGAACACTTTCCCCCCGATCTTCCCACAGCTGTCTCCCTCTCCTCTAGACCTCAGCCTAAATGTCACCTCCTGGACTGTGACCTGCACACTACTGTAACTCCTACATCCCACACAGTGCCAGACACAGGGTAGACACTCAGTCATCTGTAACCCCAGCACTTTGGGAGACCGAGGGGAGGTCAGATCACTTGAGGTCAGGAGTCTGAGTTTGAGACCAGCCTGGCCAACATGGTGAACCCGTCTCTACT